TGCTCGGTACTGGGATGGCTGGTGGCTCCTTGCTGAATCTCACCACTGGCCTCCTGATTTGGAATTCCCAGGAGAAGCTCAGGCATCTTTTTCAAAAGTGATACTCACAGGTTGCCAGAGAGTTCGGCCGCTGACGTAACATTTGTCTGAAATATGAGGTGCCTGGGCTGGCCACATGGTCTGGTGGCTAGAGAACTGGATCCCATATGGCTGACCTCAGTTCAGATTCCAGCCTCAGTAGCTTGGAAAACATGCCAGGTGTGTGTGTGTGTGTGTGTGTGTGTGCGTGCACGCGCGCGCACACACACACACACACACACACACACACACCCTGATTCCTGATGGAGGAGAAGGGATTGCAGCATGTCCACACCTATTGGGGGTGCACGCTCCCTTTCTCTCTTTGTCTCTTTGGTGAATACACTTACTCTCTGGCAATTAAAAAAAAATACTTTTTGGTTACTATTGTAAGATTTGAAGGGCTAGCGGGTGGCATGGTGGTTTAAGGCACTAGATTCTCAGCGGTTCTGCTGGCCAACAGCAGTTCAACTCCTGGACCTGGTGGCTTGCTTTCTTGCTTTCCCTTTCTCTCTGTCTCTGTTTGGTCAAATTAAAAATAATAACAAATGGAATTAAATAAATAAGTAATTCTAAAAAAAAAAAAAAAAATTGAAGAGGCTGGGCTTAAAAATCCTTTTGTTCTTGGGGCCAGTAAATGGTGCAATGCTTAAGGTGCTGGACTCCCACATGGCCAACCACGGTTTGAGTTCCAGACCTGGCGGCTTGCTTTCTCACTTTCCTTCTCTCTCTCTTTCTCTGTCTCTGATGAACACGTGCTCTATAGCAAATAAAAGTAATTAATGTAATTAAATTAATAATTATTTTAAAAAAATTTTTTGTCCTGAACTCTGAATTCTAGCTCTGAGCAGTAGACTCACCTCTGGCCTTTCCTTGACTACCATAGGCCCTTATTCATTTCCTACATCCCGTTCTTCCCATTTAGCCTTTCAGGGCCCAGATAATAAAAAGATTTTTTTTTGGTTCTCTGATTTCTGCTCCAACCTCAAGTGGAGTTACATTTTTGAACAATTCTCTTAACTCTCCAGATGTCAGGGCCCTCTCCTGATACACCAATTATAAACGTTTTCTCTTTTACCAACTGTGCTTGTTGAACCATCGATAAGAGTCATTAAATGTTCTCTTTTTGTTCTTGTTTAGCCATGGGTAAGAGTCATTAGATGGCTCCTCCTAACCTGGTAGCTCTCTAAGGAGAAGGTCGGTCATCTGTAAGATGCGTTTGGAAGGCAATGTCCCATCTGAAACATGCCAGGAACACCTGTTGTAGTGATCAGTCAAGCCGGGATGAGGACTCTTTCATGTCCAAAGTGTTCCTGGAGGGGAAGTAATTTCATTTCTGGGCTATTAAGTAACATTCTCTCTGGGGCTAAGAGGCCCCTTTTCCGCTTCCTCAAATGTTGTCTGCATTAGAGGCTGGCCTTCAGGAGGCAGAGTTAAGTGGCTGGAAGGTGATTTTATGTTGTTGTTCTGGGCCTAAGAAAATCAACGGCTAAGAGTTGGAGGGTGGGTAAACAGTTGAGATGCACGATCCTCAACTCTGATGTGGAAGTGTGGGCATGACCAAATTTGAATGTGATTCATTCAGTGCGACTTCCTTTCC